TCTTTGACCTCCTCGTATGCCTCCATGAGGATTTGTGCCTCCGACGGGGAAAAGTACGCCGCTCTAGTTGCCATGGTGAATCAGTGAATCTGTGATCGGTGGCGGGTCTATTTGAGTGAGCCGTGAACGCGCACATATCCAGGATTGGTTACACCTGGCTTGATGAATCCGTGTCTGCTCATCCTGGCTTGGTCTTTGTGCAACCAATTAAGCCTGGACGCACGTGTTTTGGATTCATTGAGCTCAGCTCAGTCATTTATCCTGGATGTCTTAATTCTACTTTTGTGCAACAGGCCCCTGGTGGTCATTTGCAATACTGTCCATGTATACCTCATATGCTATTTGCACCTCATCACCAACGCCCTGGTGATGCTGAAATATCTGACAATCTCCTATTATTGTTTTGCCCTACTGTCAATGACTGTACTCTGTTTTGAGTCACAGCTTATTCGCTGTACCATTTAGATTTATCCTAATTACATCAATCCAGTTCTTATTCTATTCTATTCTACTTTATTCTATTTTAGTTCCTAAATGTTATGGCACACAATACTAGGTGAGAGAGAAACAGTATTTCGATTTTTTTGTATGTCCTGCACATATGGTGAATTGACAATAAAATCCTTCAACCCTTGAATTGGACATGGCAGAAAAAGGCCAATTTAGGCACTTGGGAGCATGGTTGGTAATAAAATGCCTTTGATGGATATAACAAATATAGCCTGCACCAGAGAAGACTGTTTCCTCTGAGCCACATCAACTGATAAGGAGAACACAAACCAGTCTTCATACATGTATTTCATTGTATTCATAGGCTGTGATCTGCTGTTGACTGAATACATTTTTATAAGATGTTTAGTAATCCACAAAACCGTTTTTCTTCCTAGCACTCCTGCAAAATGTTCTCACAAATCAAGAGATGGTCCAAAGGAAAATCATTTTTCACAACTGGGATTGAAATCTGTAGCTGAAGAAGAAGGTTGTGTTGAACCAAATCTGCTGCCATTAGCTGATCGCCAGTCTGTTGAAAACCTGGAGGAGCAGCTCAGAAATAGTCCTGACCTCAAAAACTAACTGGTAAGAATATCAGTTCAACTTTAGGAGAAAAAAAGATGTCTAATGCTAAATAGGCTTAAATAATGTTGCTGGGACATACAGTAGAAAACCAAGAAGCTACTTAGTCTATGGAAAAAGAAAAATTGAGGATTCATAATTACATAGATAATCTAACAGCTGGTTTGACACAGATACCTACTATGAGTAGCTGAAACCATGGGAACACTGTTTTCACTCTGCAAATCCTTTATTTTACTTTACAAATTATTACTGTTGTATTTTCATTGTGAAAGTCACATGCTGCTCAGACTATCAGACCAGTTCAGTTCAGTTTTTTGCTGTTAATTTCATGTTAAAACATGTTTGAGAGGGTTAGGGCATGTTGTAATGCTGATTAATCAAAGAAGTAGGTTCAAGGTTCAAGGATTTTATTGTCAATTCACCATATGTGCAGGACATACAGAAAATTGAAATACCGTTTCTCTCTCATCTAGCATTGGGTGCCATAACATTTAAGAACTAAAATAGAATAAAGTAGAATAAAAATAGAAGAACTGGATTGATGTAATTAGGATAAATCTAAACAGTACAGCCAATAAGCTGTGACTCAAAACCATGTACAGACAGTAAACGTAGTGCAAACAATAATAAGAGATTGTCAGATGGTTCAGCATCACCAGGGCGTTGGTGATGAGGTGCATATAGCATATGAAGTATACATGGACAGTATTGCAAATGACCAACAGCAGCAGATATACCAGCAAAAAAGCAACACAGTAGCAGATTTACATATAATATAACAGAAGGTAAAATAGCAGAGGTGTCATCAGCAATGCTGATGGCTCTGCGGGTGTTGAAGGCGTCCATAAGGAAAGGCAGAGGGGTACAGATGATCTTGCCGGCTGTTTTCACTGTGTTGCAGGGTCCTTCTGCAGGAGGCAGTACAGGCTCTGTACCACACAGTGATGCAGCCAGTGATGACGCTCTCAATGGTGGCCCGGTAGAAGGAGCACATGATTGGAGGTGGGGCACTGGCTCTCCTCAGTTTGCAGAGGAAGTAGAGGCATGTTTGAGCTTTCTTGGCCAGTGTTGTTGGTCCAGGAGAGGTCCTCAGAGATGTGCACTCCAGGGAAGTATCAATTCACAGAGAAATGCACTGGCTCTTAAAGGTGAGGGAGACGTTAAGAGTGTGTAAAGAGTCATGGGTGCAACCTTAACACTCTCTGGCCAAGAATATCAACATATGAGGTATAAATGGGAAGACTGGTTTCCAGCACCTGCAGATAAAAGATGCTGATTGGTAAGTTTGTATGGAGACTTGCTGGCTCCCTCAGACTCGCTTTGACTTTTTTTATGGCTAGACTTACACTGCAGGTCTTGATGCCCAATTCTGAATTTTTGCCTATATCCAATTTCTTTTAAAATTGCACGTGTGTATGCGTTTTAGTGGCTTTGCCATGTAATCGTCTTACGTCTGATGCCATGGGCCAAGAACATGAGACCAGGATTACAAAATGACTTCAAAATGCCATTGGCTTCAGAGTGCACATACTGTACATCACTTCACAACAACAAAATGCTTGCTATTTAATAACCTGAGCTTTGACTGAGATACTGTCACTCTGCAAAAGTCAGCAAAAACAGATATTTATCACATCTTAGTGACAAAAAGAAACAGCATAATCTAAATCACCATGGTAACAACAAACAAGCAGCAACTGGATCAGAAAGTTTCAGTTTAATTAAAAACAGGCACAAAGAACATATGAAAACATCAGATTCATAGTTGCATCATTTCTACACCAGCCTGTAGTTACCTAGTAACCGCATCACTGGCTGGTTGCTGGGTTACCACAGGCACATTGACATGATCAGTTCTTCCCAGCTAGAGAGGTGACCCACATGCCAACCTGCTGGTTGTTGAGGTAGTTGCTAGGTGAAGAGGCGGATGGTGGCATCAGCTCCAGAGGATAAGATCCAGGGCTGTGTGGGGTGAAAGGTCACATCCAGAACACCAAGGTCATGAGTGATCACATGACCTCTGAGGACCTTCACAGGGACAATCAATGGGTTTTGCAGCAGGTCACTGGGGGGTGGAGGAGTTAATATATTATTACCTTACAGCACCTTATAGTTATGGCAACTGAAGCATATTACTGCTTTCTGATGTGTATTACTTGTAAACAGTCCCGTGACAGATGATCACCGATCCATCGTCGGATGCTGACGCAAACAACGGGTAAACTCTGTGGTAGGCCACGCCCCTCACAGCCTTTTTATGGTGTCTGCAGGAAGTGATAAATACAATCAGTGCAATTACTACAGTCAATACATCTAATGGCTATAAACTAATAAATTATAACCCTAAAACGACACAGTAGGAACCATGCAAACCTATTTAAAACTTATTTAAAGCCAATTTAAATTTGTCTAGCTTGTTTTGTATTGTATTGCATTAGTGGTGCCTGGCACAGTTTCATTATTGTGATTACTTTCATTTATGACCTGCCAAGGGACTGCAGATTAAAATCAGCTTTATGCCGACTCTCCCGCATCAAACGGCAACATTATGCATAATATTGTAGACGGTCCCTTGCAAATAAAAGGTTGAAACGAAATGTGAGACTAACACACTGATTCATAGAGAGCTGCGGGCCTGGCCGACAGGTGCATACCGTAACATCTTGTAGGGTTTGGTTGAGAGGTCAAGGTCAAACCAGCTCAGCCTGCAGTCATAACTCCCGCAGATCACATGATCACCTGCAGCCACAGAGACAGGTGACTCAGAGACCCTGCCCCTCATTAGTGCTGTCACATTGTTAAAGACATAATCATACTCTAGATAAAGCTTTGGTTTAGTTACCCCCCGGGTGGACAGCCATGCTGGAGATCCATTTGGAATTAGCTTGGAGTTTTTTGGTCATTTCCTGTTTGACCAGGTTGTAGATCCGGACAGAACGTTGCGTGGCCACAAAGAAGTAGGGTCTAACAGGGTGGAAAGATACGCACTGAACCAGACCTTTGTTCCTCCTGAAGGGGTTCTGGCTCCGTCTCCGGCTCAGCTGGTGGATGAACACTTGCAGGTGGCTCGAGTGATCTGGCATCACAGATGCCAGATAGTCTCCTTTAGCATGCCACACCACCTGATGAACAGCCTTAGGGATCAACACTGATTAGTTAGTTCAACTTGGATAAGCAGCTGCTGGCCCTCCATCACTCCTCTGTGGAGAGCATTTTAACATATTGTCTGGGTGTATGGTATGCAAACTCCATAACTGAGGACAAAAGGGCCATGCAGAGGGCTATAAACACCACCCAGAAAATAATTGGCAGCCCACTGCCCTCTCTGGATGACATAACTAGATCCCGCTGCTACAGAAAAACCAAAGCCATCACAAGGGATCCCTCACATCCCGCCCATCACCTGTTTGACCTGTTGCCTTCTGGAAGGCGCTTCAGGTCAATCGAGTCTCATACTACCAGACTAACAAATAGTTTCTTCCCCTGGGCCATTCGAATCCCTAACAATCACTGACACTTCTCCCCAAGACACACACATATACTTATGTACATGCTACCATGACCATGGTCTTCCTACTTCTACCTCAGTATAATGTACATTGTGCAATTATTAGGTCTTACTCCTGTCAGTACGTCAGATTATTTATATTACAATGCGTATATTTGTCACACCTTATTTTAATATTCTAGTGCATATCTAATTTTACCCTTTAAAATGCACTGTTGTTGGCAGAGCACCCACAATTTTGTTGTGCTCCTACTGTGCAATGACAGCCTATTCTATTCTCATGTACTGATTGGGTCTCTAATCAATGAGTCAGATGGGCATGTGTGTACACAGGTGTCTTTTCTCACTTTGGGGTGCTGTATTTTGAGGCATATCCCCTGGTTTAGCTCCTCCCCCTGAGCCTCAACCCAGGTGATGTGCCCTGCCCCCTCCACTGACTCCGTCTCCTGTTGACCAACGAGGAGTCGCTCTGTCGATGAGATAACCTGTTTGTCTGCCAGAGAGGGAGACAGGATCAACACCACCGAGTCCCTGAAATACAAAGATAGGTAAATAAGTAAATAGACAAAATGCTAAATAAACAGTCAGGTTACACACAAAAAAAACCCCAACAACAATTAAAAAAAAAAAAAAAAAAAAAAAAAACACCAAACAGGTTCTTACATAGCAATAGCCAATAGACAGACAGATGGGTTTGGGTTCCAGGCGACATTCTTCACAGCTCCGCCCACCCGGACAGTCTTAATACAGCAAGACGAACACACCTCCCAGAACCTGACTGTGCCGTCATCACTACCTGAGTACAGGTACACACAGTTAAATACATAGTGCAGTCATCATTACCTGAATACAGGTACAAAATGTCACAGTTGTGTACCAGTATGTGTGATGCTGGTTTCCGCTAACTGCTGCTGTCTGATTATATCACCTGGTTTATCATCCCACCTGCTGATTCAGACACCTTAAAGTCCCCATGGCTGCTCATTTTGCTTGTCTCCAGCCATTTAATGTGTAATCTTGGGTACCTCTAGATTATCTCAGCACCCCTCATAACTCCAAAGAGCCTAATTATTTCAGAATGTTAACACCAGAGAGCCTCTTCCTAAAAACAAGACTGTTCGTGAACACACACACACACACACACACACACACACACACAACTCCTGCTGCCAGTGTTGTGTCACAGGTAGACAGCACAACGAACTGTGACAGCATTAATTATTGTGAATGTCTCCTCCATAGATAGGTAAACAACGGTGTATGTACTGATAAAAAGAGACGTGTAACACTCTAAACAAAGCAGGTAACTGAGAAACCCCATGTTTTAACAGGCATAATGCAGACATAGTAACTTCTCCAGCCTTACAACAATTCTCTCTAACGTTACAGAAACAAGGCATTAACAGATGCAATGTGTTTTTAATCTTAGCATCAAGTCCTACCTAGTAGTGGAAACATCATTCCCTCTCTAGTAGTGGAAACATCATTCCCTCTCTAGTAGTGGAAACATCATTCCCTCTCTAGTAGTGGAAACATCATTCCCTCTCAAGTTGCTCCAAGGTTGGTAAATTCAACCGGTGGTCGCTGCGTCTTCCCCCACAAGACCACATACAGTCCCAAAGCAGTTAAATTAATTCCGACAAGTAGCGTAGCACCGACAATAACATCATGGGTCGTTAATCTGCTAGTTAACCAGCAACACATCACATGCAGCAGACACATTGGCCTCAAGCAGTCAAAACAAACAGGTATTGTGCTCCGGGGGAATCCAGCATTGATCAGTTGATCATTAACCACTGTGGGGGATTCACAGGCCGGCTGCTTGTATGTTAAACCCGGTCAGGTAAAACAGGAAGTCTCTGTACAGGAACATTCCTGGACATATAGTAACCTCAGGCCCTGTATTTTCCTCCACATCCTCTGGTCACAGTGCAGCAGGAGGGAAAATATATCCACAAAAACAGTCAAAAAAACTTTTTACAATGGCACCAGTGGATGCCAGGCAATCTCACATAAACGCGCAACGCCCTGGAGATTATGAACATTCAAGGAAATCCTTACACTATCATGTCCAACTGTTTTGTTAGAAAAAAAAAAGTCTCGCGAGAGGCGTATAAACCAAAGTACTTCTGCATAGAAATACTAGAAAATAAGTGCACCTAATTTTTTTGAGCTTTAGAGGTCACTTCTAAGATGATAATTCACCGCTGTGACATTGTAGATATGTCAGAAAACAAGGAAAATCACCATGGGCTGTTTAACTATACTTTACCTGGGATCCACCCACACTGCTAAAAACAAAAAACAAAAAGCAAAACAAAAAAAACAACCCACTTTGCCTAGTCAGTGTTACTATAGCAACCAGAGGCCACACCCCCAAAAGTCAGCATGTTACAGAGGATACTGTGAATGACAGCTGAGTTACCTGAAGCAAGCCACTGTCCTGATGGAGACACACTGATGGACCGAACCAGACCGCTGTGACCTCGATACACCTGAACACACATACAGGTAACACGTCCAGGTCAAATCGAACACCAAGTAAAAATCTGTGTCCTCACAAGTACAGAAAGTCTGTTTTTGTACCAGAGACTGTGTGGTTGGAAACGGCTGCAGGTCCTTCGGTTTCGGAAGTTTTGGAATCAGATCATCTGGATTCACGTTCACCTGTAGACAGACAGCCCAAGCGGTTATTGATCCTCTCCACCTAAACAGACGACCCTGAGCTCTGACTGGCTGCAGGAGGTTTCATTACCAGCAGCACTCATTTGTCAATTTTTAATACGTTTTAAATGTGATATCATGCAAGTAGTTTGATGTATATTTTGAACAGTGATTCAGTGTTTGTGATTCAGTTATTGATTGGAGCCTGAATGAAGTGGGTGACCACCACAATATGTACAGGTAGAAGAAACCTGTGTGCTCGCACTGCTTTTGAGAAACAAATCCAGATGTTTAAGTATCAGCCTCAGGGACACTAGTAACATTTAGCAGAAACTTTCAGTGTTTAACCCAGTTCTGCCAGGAAACACTTGTCATTAGTGAGGTATGCTAGGGCGGTCTACCTGCTGGTACCCAGCAGCCTCTGTTAGACAAACACTGACATAACTGTGTGTGTTCCTGTCTGGGAAATGTGTTGCTGCTTAATGTGTATTAGGTCAAAGTTATGTCAGTGAAAGGTATTATTATCTTCTGGTGTGCTACACCACAGGTACTTCTCTCTTCACGTACCGATGTGGGACATCACGTATCAGCGTGATGTCGGGTGACACTGTGGGACTAGTACTTCCTTCGTTACACAGATGTTACTAACATCAGGAAACATTTTGTCTACTACTTCAGGTGTATCAGGTGCAACAAGGCTGCAGTGCCACCCGCTAGGTGGAGGTGTGAACTGGCAGTAGTTACCCTCATCTTCCTCTGTCGGGGACACAGGTAAAGGTCGAGGCAGCGCTCAAACCGCTCATGGATGAAACGAGGAAATGCAGGAACCTGTCGGAGGCTCGGGAACTTCGTGGGAACAAAAGGCAACTTCCTGTCTGACGGGTCCTGCTGCTCCCACAGAGCTCTCTGCAGAGAGGGAGACAGGTCGACAGGCTGGTTTATTCAAACCGTTTCATAACCAGGTAAGTTAAAGAGGTGAGCTGAGCGCTTCACCAGGTGCTGTACCTCCTCCTCAGTGAACAGGTACTCGGGTGGGGGGTTGTAGGACTCCTGGTGACCAGGTAGCGGGATTTTGGGGGCAGGCACATGCATCCTGTGTTTAGCCAGAATAGAAGAGTCCTCACTGGCCCAGAGGTCATAGTAGCACCCCCTGCTTTCATCCTCCACCCGTCGAGGCTTGATCCAACCCATCTTTATGGCATGAACCAGTTTAGACACCTGCAGACAGGTGAGACAGTTGAAAACAGGTAGAGGCAGAATGATAGACAGGTGTGGATGAGTGAAGAAGCTGCAGCGTGTTTTACCTTCTCCTTCTCGATCAGAGACGGGATGAAGCTGCGTTTGTCTGCAGGTCTGTTAGTGACGGGGTGGAGCATCACGTCTCTACTGAAGAAGTCCACCGAGGGCTGGGGGGATGGAGCAAAGGTCATGTTTTAGATCAACATTTTATATACAACAGGCTAAAAACAGTCTATTCATCGTATTCAACAAAAAAGGGAGGGAGGGGCGGGGCCTCACCTCAGTCACCTGAGCGTACCTGATGCTCATTGAAGTTGATGTCACCAAACTGTCCTTTCTGCAGACGATTCACTAGCTCCACCTGCTCCCCTGATAGGATGATGTCACTTCCTGTCTGCTTGTCATAGATAGTTCTCCTGCGGACAGAATGCTGTTAATTTAGAACTGTAGGTTAGCTTCGTTAGCATTTCCCATAAACCAACAGGGGATTAGCAGGCTCACCAGTAGTCTGGGTTCTCCATTTTGTCCAGGAAGTCATCAAGTTCATCCTTGTTCCTGATTGGCTTGTAGATCTTCTTCCCGTCCAGATCGTAGCCAATGTGAGGGAAGTCTTTGTACCACTCCATGGGAATGTTCCCTACTGTGTTCCTAATGTCCTGCATAATAATGAGTGCATCAAAGATTGTTTGCACCAAATACTAGAAAACCTAACAGAACAAGATCCGTAAAAACCCTTAGGAACCAGACAGAATGTTTTATAAACCCCAAAAACATAAAAGTGCAGTGAACCTAACAGTTCATTTGGTAAGAATTTTACAGAGAATGAAAATGAACCTGACAGCTCATTAAATATTACACTCCAGAAGAACAGAGACCCCAATACAACAAATTAAAGAACCACAAACAACATCAGAGACCATGACAGAATCTTAGACAATCAGACAGGGCATTTAGGAAACTGAAAGAATGTTTTAGAAACCTCACTGGAACGTAGGGGGTCAGACAGAGCTTTAGGTTCAGAGACTGGTGAACACCAGAGAACCAGGTTCTCTGATCCAAAAGATAAACTGGATTCACCTCCTCGTCTGAAGAGTCATGTCCGTACTCATCTTCTTTCTTTTCATCATCTCCTTCTGTCACTCCTCCTCCCTCCTCCTTCTTCTTCTTCTTCTTCTTCTTCTTCTTCTTCTTCTTCTTCTTCTTCTTCTCCTCTGTCTGCAGGTGGAACAGTGTAGAATAGAAAACAGGAGAACAGTAGAAAATTTCAACAAGGTGAGTCATCACCAGCCAATCACCTGTCAGACTGACAGGTTAAACTATACCTGCTGAGGCCGCTCTGACTCCGCCTGCACATCATTATTATCAGCATCATCATCAGACCCCTCCTCTTCATCTTCGTCATCCTCAGTGTCACTCTCAGAATCCTCTAGTCCTGAGTACACGCTGTCCTCGCTGTCAGACAGACCTTCATCATCCTCCTCTTCCTCAGCAGGTTTCTTGTTGAAATTAAAGATCTGAAGATGAAACAAAAATCTGTAAAAAATATCGTTTCCATGACTACTATATTACATTTATGCCTTATACAATTTAAGACTATTCCCAGGACTTGCATCACATCACACAAGGTAAAATGTTCAAAATGTGTTTCACTGACACAGATACTTGTTCACAATGCACTCTGGGTTGTGCTGATGATTACTTCCATGCTACTTGGACCTGTCAACCTGTTTACTCCCTCTGAGTAACGGTGACAGAGAATCCCTCCATCCCTGTCACTCTGCCTGCCCGGTAATTTCACAGAAGTAGACCACCTACCGATTAAATATAAAACCCACTGTCTTATTTCTGTATAACCATCACTAAGAAAATCTTTCTAAATGGGAAATCTAAAAACTCATTACACATCAACCTTCTCATAGAACACATCACACTAGAGAAAATATCATCCACCCATAAGAATAATATACCCACCTTTTTCTGCCACCTGGAATCCCTTTCTAACCACTTTTAACTTAAACCAGATACCTGAGGGCAAGGCCATGCACATTCCTACAAACTCCTAGAAATATAACAGGCTGATTTTTGTTTCATCATTGGTCCTCACTGTCCATGCTACTGTTTTGAGTACGTCACACCTATCAAACCAGATGAACTGAGAATATAACCTACAATCTCCCTTTTTTCCTTTCCTCTCTCTAATCATTTACTGATTTGTTAATTCCATTTAGTTTTGTTACATAAATATGTGTATGCAAAAGTATATAATGTATGTATGTGAGGGAAATTGCTTTATTATTATTTTTCTCCTTTTACTGTTATTTTATTATTACAGTCATCCATTTTCTATCAAAATGTCTGATGTACCCATTCATCTTTCTCCACCATTAATTTAACAAACCAGGAGTTGTATTAGGGGATGCTCCACCCTGCCCACAGCAACTGGGGCATGCAAGTACTCTCTAGTTTTGTTACATAAATATGTGTATGCAAAAGTATATAATGTATGTATGTGAGGGAAATTGCTTTATTATTATTTTTCTCCTTTTACTGTTATTTTATTATTACAGTCATCCATTTTCTATCAAAATGTCTGATGTACCCATTCATCTTTCTCCACCATTAATTTAACAAACCAGGAGTTGTATTAGGGGATGCTCCACCCTGCCCACAGCAACTGGGGCATGCAAGTACTCTCTTTATTCCTATTTATTTCATTTCACAATGAGCATTCCTTTGTCTGTCTGCATTGTTTAATGCCTGTTTATTTTGTGCACTGTTTGTTGCTTGTTAATGCTGTTTATTTTGTTATACTACACAGCCTTATGTTGGTTTACTGTTTACTTGCCCCTTGCATGGGGATATGTACATGCACATTGAGAGTCGCTGTACCATAGTCAAATTCCTCTTGTCCGACACACCTGGCCAATAAAGCTGATTCTGATGCAATCTGGGTCACTCTAGGGGAGGAGGTGGAGGGCAGGTCACCGTTTCCTTTCCCTTAACTGCATATAGCATCACTGGACTGCTAACCGGCTAGACCAGCTCCCACCTCAGGGTATGGGAGCTGTTTAGGAGGGGAACTCACCACACATTGGGTCAGGTCTCTCCTGTGAAGATCAGGCGGCGACCCCGAGCTTGTCCAAGGTTAACGTTCATGAACCATTAGCCACTTTTGGCTTTTCCCCGTTTAGGGGTCACCACAGCGAATCGTCACACTGACGACTGATGCCCTTCCTGACGCAACCCTGACTCGAACCTGGGCCGCAGTCTTAACCATTAGCCTACCAGGGACGGACTATCCTCTCATTTTCAGGAGTTTCAGTTTTATCATTCTAAAACAATCATAAACTATTTGGAGTAATGAGGGGTGCAAAGCTAATCTAGAGGTACCCAAGATTAAACATTAAATAGCTGGAAATGAGCAGCCATGGACTCTTTAATGCTTAAGCTGGTAAAGGTGGAGCTAATGTTAGCCACCTTAAATGCTTTTGATTTAATTACTGCTGGATAGCTTGTGAATTTCCCCCCGGGAATCAATAAAGCCTTGTGATTATACTGTGACTAAACTAAAGTAATGGAAGTTATCAAATACACGTATTGTTTCTGAAATATAGTAAAGTTAAAATATAAAATAGCAGAAGCTGGAACTATTCAAAGTACAGATGCCCTGTACGATATTTAAAACTCAAGTGCACTTCATTACTTTTCAACCACTAGAAAAAGGAGTGAAGAACATAATCATCAAAACGACACGGCAGAAAGCTGAGATGAACGGTCCTCACCTGGCTGCTCCTCTCTATTAAACGACACAACATGAACGGCCGTGGGCGAACTCACCGGTTTCCTCAGCTGTCTGAACATTAACACTGTTAGTTACCGAATATGTACTGTAATTGTCTCTCTGAGTATTTCACATCTCACATACTCCCAGCAGCATGTTGTGATGCATTGTCCCCTGTTAGCATGCGAACAGCTAGCCACTAGCTCCTCACCAGTAATCCCAGTTTTCCTCCTGTCTGTCTGTATCTCACCTGCTCCTCCACCTGCTCCTGCTCCTCATAGTTACTCCTCTTCTTCTGTGTTTTCTCTCGGTCTTTGTTCATATCTTGTCTCTGCTCTCTGCTCCACATGTTTCCACTACTCTCCGCCATTAAACCACATGGCAACCTGCAGGGTCATAGGTCATATAACACGGCCGCAGTGTTTACTGTTGGCGCCATCTTCTGGTCATTATCATCATCGGCGGCCTGAAATGACAGCTTCCCTCAGGTGAAGATTGCTCCTGCAGAGAGGTTACGATGAGAGGCCCCAAACCTTTGGTCTTTTTTAGCAACATTCACGTTTTTGTCTTTTGCTTGATGAGATGCATTGAGGCAGAGGAATAAAAACAGTAATTGTGTACTAAATTCACATTAATACCTGTTTATTTTGACTAATCATAGCTGCTCAGACAGAAGAAGCTCACGTAGGCTATTGAATTTTACCTGTGGGTAAAAAGATGTCCAAGGCTAAGAACAGAAGATGGCACTAAAATATCGTCAATTCTCATATAAACCAAACGCCTAACATGATTCTACAAGCATGGTACTAAATACAGCTTTTCATTTATTATTATTGTTGTTTCACCGCTGGCAGAATTATGTTGTGTTTTCCTTATGTTGTATTTTTATTCTAATATTAAATAAACTAAAAAAAAAAAAAACAACTCGTACATCTTAAGGGCTCTAGTCTGAGTGAACGCTTTTATTTTGAAGGATAGCCATCTCGTTTGGTGTGACGTCATGGTGTGTTCTTCCGGCGGAGCTTTTTCAGTGTAACACTTCAACATGAACCGTGATGACAGAATTATGCCAACCCGTGAAAACTGCGTTTATACCAGCTGTTACTGGTAAATATTCCCTGGTACTGCAGTATATACACTGAAAATACTCCACAGTATACTCTAATAGTTACTACAACACATACACTGTTATAGTTTAACATTACTACAGAAGAGATGGTGGTTAATAAGCATCTGACTGAGACCGGTGATTAGCTGATTTTACTGATAAATATCGATATCTGCAAACACACAAACAGAAATTAAAGGTTAAAAATTGATCACCAAACATTTTAAGAAAAATAATTAAAACGTACACAATAGCTGCTAATGTGTTTTAGAGTTACTAAATGTTTATTACAGTTCATTGGGATAAAAGTAATGTGATTTATTGTTTCATTGGTCAATCAAATCAATCAGATGACCAGGTTAATTTGAACTAGTTGTCTGCAGATTTAACACAAATATTTCTGAAATAAAACCTAAGTGTTTTGGTTCTGTTTGGATCATACATAAACTAATCAATACATCAAGAGCTGCAGTAGCTTTTTTAAATTGATCATAGGTTTTGCCTGACCTACAGAGGCTCAGTAAATCTGATGATCAGGCCATTATCAAATTGGTTGCCAGCTGATTTTCTAATGATCACCTGATCATTTGATTGACTCACCAAGTCAGCTTTATAAACAAACCACAGGTCTGCTGAGAACTTTAAGAAGGTATGTTCCCTGCTCTTTTCTTATGTTTAGGTGGCTTTAAGTTGTCCTTTTTAACATGTCTTATTTATTTGTCAGCGTACTTTAACTTGTATTTTTGGCTTTGATTTTGTGTGGGGTTGTTTATTTCACTTTTGTTTTGTTTGTGTTATGGAGCAAACGATGTAGCTGTTGAGAACAAGAAATGTCTGACCTGATCAGGTTTTTATTGATCAGTTCTGTACTTACCTTTATTCAGACACAGGAACAGAGCTGGACATGATAATCAATAGGACTGTCACATGGTGATACAGAACGTCAGGTTCTGGTTCTGCTGGCTGTGCAGGTTCAGCTGGTGTTTGATTGTGGTTCTGTTCTTGTTCCACAGTGAAGAAAATGTCTGGAAACTCTGTGATTTTGTCCGAATGGAGAGACCTGCACAGCTAGAACATCTGTTTGTTGTTTTCATCTCTAATGAGAACAGAACGGTGAGACCATGATGCACCTCAAATATTTGTGCCATAGAAACATTTGTCAGGTTCTATTAAAGAGCCCACAGCGCTTTTCCTTGTTTTCTGACTTATCTACAATGTTACAACAATGAATTATCATCTTGGACATGACCTAAAGCTCAAAAATGAGGTGTACCTATGTTCTAGTATTTCTGTGCAGAAGTAGCTTAGTTTATACACTGCTCACAAAATTTTGCTGGCGAGAATTTTTTTTCTAACAAAATAAAGTATTACATGACAGTTCAAGGATTTCCTTGAATGAGCATAAAATCTAGGAAGCTGCACGTTCATGTGAGGTTGCCTGACGTCCACCAGTCATCTCTTTTAATCAGTACATATACCGCTTTTTACCTATCTATGAAGGAGAAATTCAAATTAATTACTGTGTTGTGATTCATTGTGCTGTCCACTTTCAACACAACACCAACAACAGGGGTTGTGCGTGTTCATGACCTATCCTCTGGTTTTAAGGAAGAGGCTTTCTGGTTTTATCGTTCTGAAAGAATTACAGACTACTCGGAGTAATGAGGGGTGCAAAGCTAATCTAGAGGTACCCAAGATTAAACATTAAATAGCTGGAAATGAGCAAAACGAGCAGCCATGGGCTCTTTAAACATCTGACAAGTTCTACAAAACCATCTGTCAGGTTCTATTAAACATCTCTTAGGTTTCATGTGTGGTTGTATTTGAGACGTTCTCTCTCTGTTCCCCATCAGGTTCCTCTGTGGAAACAGAAGTCTGGACTTGGAGACCAACCTGTGATCTGGGTCTGTGACATCATGGCAGGTTTTATAGTATTGGTGATGTTACTGCCAGTCTGATGATGCTGATGATGTCACTGTATGTTTCAGGACTACCACGTGATCCTGATGCAGGTGGGTGTTCAGCCATACTCCCTGGCTTATGATCTGGATTCTGAGCTGTCATTTCCTTGCAGCCTGAAGCTGTATGCCACCCAGGCCCTCCGCTCAGACCGCAACATTCGACCTGAGTACCACAGGTAACACACCTGAAACCCAAGGTACTCCCAGTGGTATCACCGATGACTGAGTGTGAATGTCTGTATGTGTGAATGGGTGAGCAGGCAAATGGTGTAGTCACTGCAGTAACAAACTGACTCTGATGCGAGTCTGAACTGAAACTTAGGAACACCTTAGAGTCTGTGGAGGAAGTGGGATCACAGTTAAGTCTGCCTTTCTTTAACAGGAAGTTGCGTGTCATACCTGCTGACAGCTTCCTGTTCAACTTTGCATCGGATCGATCTCACATGAAGAATCCTGATGGATCCTGGAGGATGGCCCCCCCACCCTACCCTCCCATACACACTGAAGGTCATATGACCCCTCTGGTTACCTCAGCATGTCTGATGATCAGGCCCAAACATAATCTGCAGATTAGTTCAGTTTTCTGCTGTTATTCCAGATGGAAATCTAGGGGTCTCTGGTGGACTAGTGGCTAGGATTTAGCGTTCTCGCTGCTGCGGCCCAGGTTCAATTCAGGGTTGCATCAGGAAGGGCATCCGGTGTAAAAGATGTGTCAAATTTCAACATGCGAGTCCTCAGTGTGACGATTTGTTGTGGCGACGCCTAACGGGAACAGCCAGAAGTGACAGATTCAAGATGGAAATCTGTGTAGTACTGCAGAGTGATTCATTTAGCTAGCAATGATTATTTTTTGAGCAAAAATAAGCACAAAAATGCATAAAAGCAACCAAAATACCCTTGAGCCAGGTGAAAGAAATCACTTTATATGAACTTTTAAATTTGAGAATTTTTTTATTTCATCAACATTTCAAGACAAGGTGTGAAAATTTGTTGGAAATTCTACCAGCCTAAAATCTAAATGCAGGTGGCCACTGAAATACAAAGTTCAGTTTCTTTAGACGCAGGCTACTGACTGACCATCGCGTAAAAAAAGGGGGGAGGTCAGGGGTCAGTTGGGATGATGGTGCAGGTTTCCAGACAATCTAGTCAGGAGACATTAATATGTAAACAGACATTATCCTTGGTTGTTCACACAGGCGACTGAGGGGAGTGGCTCTAGATAGTGATGGTCCTCTGACACCCGAGGCTCCGACACATGCACGGTAGCTCATGAAGCAATTGTATTTAACCACTGTGCTGAGGTGTGTTTTGGTCACGTGACTAGTGACGTCTGAAGCACTTGAGTGACGTTCGAAGCAGTTGAGTGCCTCGGTCATCATACAAATCAACTGATTGGTTCGATTTGTCATGTGAATCACTGGGATAGTGTGTTAAGGGAAAGGATATCCCTATTTAGTGGCGTTCATTTGAATTTTTCTTTGCAGAGCAGATTGGTTTGTTGCTATTGTTGCTATTAGTTGCTTTGAGAGTTAGTACTGTTGTAGCAGATTGTGTATTTAGTGGAGAATCACTGTAGATGGAGAGATCAATAGACAGCTAGATAGTAAGTTACATAGAGAAATAGATAAATTAGTTATATAAATAGATAACACTAAATCTAGCCACAGGGGTTACAAGCCAGTGACTTCTGTGCCGGTCCCAAGCCCAGATAAATAAAGAGGGTTGCATCAGGAAGGCCATCCGGCGTAAAAACATGCCAAATTTAAACATGCGAATCATCAGTGTGAATTCCATACTGGATTGGTCGAGGCCCGAGTTAACAACGACCGCCACCAGTGCTGTTGACCTACAGGGTGCTGGCAGAAATTGGACTACTGTTGGTTGAAGAAGGAGAGGAGGCAGAAGGATTCATAGACAGAGAGAGAAGAGGAAAGGCAGGAGTATAGGTCTGAGAATAGGGACTTAACGTTGGCACAATGACAGGGAAAGGTAGAGAGCTGGCGGACATGGTTGAGAGAAGGAAGGTAGATATACTGTGTGTGCAGGAGACCAGGTGGAAGGGTAGCAAAGCACATAGCATTGGAGGGGGATACAAACTGTTTTATTATGGTGTGGACAGGAAGAGAAATGGGGTAGGAGTGATCCTGAAGCAGGACCTCGTGTGGAATGTTTTAGAGGTAAAAAGAGGGTCAGACAGGGTGATCCGTTTGAAGTTGGAAATTGAAGGGGTAATGTTGAATGTAGTCAGTGGTTATGGTCCACAAGTAGGGTGTGAGTTAGAAGAGAAGGAAAGATTCTGGAGTGAGTTAGATGAGGTGATGGAGAGTATTCCCAGAGGGGAGAGAGTGGTGATTGGGGCAGACGTCAATGGGCATGTTGGTGAGGGGAACAAAGGTGATGAGGAGGTGACGGGCAGGTTTGGTGTTAAGGGAAGGAACCTAGAAGGACAGATGGTGGTGGGCTTTGCTAAGAGGATGGAAATGGCTGTAGTTAACACCTATTTCCAGAAGAGGGAGGAACATAGAGTTACATATAAGAGTGGAGGTGGAGTACGCAGGTAGACTACATTCTATGTAGACGAGGCAAGACGAGAGATTAGTGACTGCAAAGTGGTGGTAGGAGAGAGTGTAGCCAGACAGCATCGG